CTCAGCCCCTCCCGCCTTTGGGCCGTGGCGGTGGGGGCGATGGTTGATGGGGGAAGATGGTATTTGCCTGAGTTGAGGCTGTTCCCAGCCTCCAGCCCTACTCACCTGCTTGCACAAGACTTTCAGTCAAGCCCTGAAGCTTGGAGCCACTCAGAGCAGCTCGGAACTCCTCAGCAGCTTAGTTCCCGGCAGCCCCAGTGCCTAGGGTGGAGGGAAAGATCTGAGCACCCAGCACAAGAGAGCCCTCCCTGCCTTCCAAACTGCCCCGTTCTGGAGCAGTGACCCCCTGGTCAGTGACTTCCCTGACACCTCTGTGTTTCCCCTCTGATGCCCATGATGCCCCACATATACCCCCCTCTTCAAAATGAGCCCTCCTCACATTATTGCTCCCCATCTGGGTGAGACAGAGAGGGTCCTGGCTGGGAAATGAGACACTGGGGTTCCGGTTCCCCCTCTCCTACCAAGTCGCTGTGTGACCACAGACAAGACCTCTCTCTGGGTCTCAATTTCTCCATGTGAGAAAGGAGCTTTGAACACTCTGCAGTCCAATTTTGGCATAAATAACTTCAGTCTTCACCTTCTGGTGGGGCTGGGAGAGTAAAATAGCATACTCAGCTTGCCACCAAGGGGCGGGTGGAGTGGATTAGGATCTTTTTAGAGAAGGGTGAGCGAGGCAAGAAGGAGGTGGGGTGCACAGTGGCCAGCAAGCCCTGGAGTCAAGGGTCCAACACCTTAGGTTCTGAGACGCTCAGACAGGAAGAGGAAGGGCTGGCCCTCCCTGGAGAAGGAATGCTTCTTTTGGGAGTGGTATCTGAGCAGGGATTTGAAGTGTGGGCACAGATCAGGAGAAGAGGGAAATGAGAACAAAGAACGGAGCCATAGGCTGAGTCTCTGGATGACTTTGCCAAAGGGATGTGGCCGCGAGGGGTGGGCTGGAGAGCAAGGTGTGCTGTTCTTGACTTTGAATGAAGGCAAGGTTCCTCCAGAGGGCGCTGTTCTCCAGGAATCCGTCCCTAGCACCCAAGCCACTAGGGCTAGCCTCCTACCAGCTGGCTTTTGCTTCTAAGAGGCTTATTGTGGCATCGCATTCATCCCGCAGCACGTGCGCGGTGCCTAGGGGAACTAGGTCGCTAGGGCTAGCCGCCCTTCCCTCTGCCTTGCTCCAATTCAGGACCCTGAGAAAGCAGCCTGCCCTTAATTGGTAGGAAGAAGGCGGTGGCTCCAGCCTCCTTGCCTCTGCCACTGGCTGTGCTTTCCTCACTTCTCCCTCCCCACCGCCCTAGTCACTGACCCCTACCCAGAAGGCAGCCTCGCCTGTCCTCCTTGCCTGCTGATGGTCTAAGCCTTGCCACCGCAGGTTTTTGGAGGAAAGATGTAGGCCCATGGCCAGCCTTCCAGGGAAGTCCGCAGAGCCAGAGTGACAGATCTGTAGAGGCCCACCTGGGACAGGTGCGTGTCGGTGAGGGTTGTGCGTGGTCACACAGAGCCCTGGTCATCTGGAGAAGAGACACACATTTGCATGCAGACGAACAGACCTTCAGACCTCGGGATGGAAGAGTCCAAGAGAGCTGGGGCTCCACAGCAGCACGCCGGGAAGTGCCCGCGCTCCCTTGCCCTGCTGCTCTCTGCTTTCCAGAGAGCGGAGCCTGTGCTACCACAAGGTTGGTAACCACCAGAAAATGTGTGACAATGCTGTTTTTGTCCCCGCCTGAGGCAGGAACCCTCTTCCCAAGAACAAGAGCCACAGTCCTCACTGATCAGCCCGTTCCCAGCCTCCACACGGTGCGCCACCAGCACGGTCTCGAGCTGAACCAAGCCCATCTCCCGGACCAGGGGTGCACGCGGCTAAGAGGGACCAGCCAGGCATAACGGAAGGAGGAAGACGGAAATTCCTCCTCTCAAGCTTTGTCATGCTGTGTTGTGAGGCTACAGCAGAGGTGCCTGGGGATGGATCGCACAATCTGGTGTCTCCTGCCCTCAACACTGGCCAAGTGTGTGGACATCTCCAGAGCAGGTTTAGATCCAGGTGGTGAGAGAGGTCCAGAGAGGTTTCAGAGGATCGGCCCTCTACAGAGTGCGTAATGCCAGCCTCACTGCTTCCCAGCAGCAGGCCAGTTTGAGGTATAAATTCAGAATAGTGTGGGGTTTCTGCAGCCCTGCTGCATGGAGGAGCAGCCCTCTCCCAGCTTGCATTCTGCCAGCCCGAAATCCAAAGGCCACTCAAGGGCGATCGTTGTTTTTCCCAAGGGTACAGAGTAGGGTAGGGAGTGCAGCTCTCCATTTCACGATTTTTTTTTTTCCGTTTCACGATTGACTTACTTATATCCTTGTAACTGCCTGAGAGCTCTTTTTCCCCCAGGCTGAGGACGGCTGGTCTGCAGGGCCTGGACGCCACTGAGAGCAACACATACGTACTTTGCAATAAACACGCAACACCTTCTCCCCAGCAACATGAACATTTCGGGATGGAAAGTGACAGGCACACCCTCTCCTACCCCCACCCTTGGTATGCTTTCTCCATGCTAGGGGGAGGTGGCCAGGCAGTGAGGGGGCTGGGCCTGACCGGAAACTTTGTAGGCAAGACCCCCCCCCCCATTTCTTGGAGGCTGCAGTAGGCAAAGAGTATGTCTAGGATTTTTCCGAGGGAGTCAGACCTCCACTCAGGGCCGTAGTCCTGGAGAGATGATCGAGAAGGGGCTGAGTCCATAGGCAGGAAGGGCAGGGCCACCAGAGACTCGAAGGAAAAGAAAAAGAAGAAAAGCTGAGGTCGCCCCTTTCCCAGCCCTCAGTTCACCTACTCTTGGAACTGTTAAAAACAAACTGGCTACAGTCTTGGAAGGGATTCGAGACTACCAGAAATCTCCTCCCCAGGCAAGAGGGGAACTCCGCCAGGGAGGGGGAATATTTAGACAGACAAGTTCTGGGCTGGGAGCCCGGACACCTGGGCCCACCCTGACTTAAGACACTGTTGAAGCCTGGCAAGTAACATGCTTTCCTGGGCTTCCGTTCCTACTCCTGTAGAGATACGGGTGGAGAGTGTGGAAGGGTCCTTAAAGGTCTCAGCCTACCTCCACCTTGCAGAACACAGGCTGGGAGGTTCTACACCCCTTTCCCAAGATGGTCTTGGCAGCACTGAATTGCCTCGGGGCCAGGCAGAGGTGGGAGAAGAGGCTACCACTGCTTCCCTTGGTAAAGCATCTTGGCTGGAGCATTGGAAGCGGGGGATTTGGGCAGCAAATACCTCAGCCAGCCTTGCCCTGAAGCTGGGCAGGAGGCTGAAGGCTGTGGAACCAGAACACTGGCAAGGTGGGAAACTACTCATTCTCATCTGCTGTTTTTGAAATGAAGACATCCGGAAGGTGAAATGGGATAGGATGTGCCAATGGTGTTTTTCTCTCCGTGTATTTAGACACTAGCAGATGGAAGCTGGATTGCAGTTGTATGTGGTTAATAGTGTCCGGTGTCAGCGCAGAGGGTCCTGAGAGCGTGAGAGAGATCTCCATGTAGTAAGGACCAGGTCTGAGGTAGTGTCGACTTGTCAGATAAAGTAAATCAGCAATAAAGTAAATCAGCAGGCCTCTGTGCCTGAGTTTATCTGGACTCCTGTAAGAAACTTCTCCCTAGGACTTGTTTTTCCCTTGGAGAGTCTTGCCGCAAGAAAATTCTAATTGGAGGGATACTGTCCCTCTCCAAGTTCTTGTTCCTGGTTTGAGGGCTTGGCTTCTTCTCTATTCCCAGGAATAGCCTGTGTAGACCCGGCACACCCAGTGGATCCCATGGGTCCTTCTCCCCTTTCCTGTGCCTCTGCAGCCCCATCTGCAGAACCGGAGAGCTGGCGTGACATAGCCTCTACCCTGACGGGGCTGCTGTTAGACAGAAGCGAATCCATTCACCCTGCAGATTCAGCTCACTGGGGCTGCGAATTCCCTGCCAATGACTGGAGACGGTACCAGCGAGAAGTCCTGGCCCGGACCACGGCTTGAGATTCGGGAGGGAAACTACACTGCCCCGGCTTCGTTCTCTCCCGGAGAACAAGGCCTCCAAAATCTGCAAAGCACTCTCAAAACTCTCTCCATAAACAGCCTAAAATAGGATTACTTTTACTTATTAGTCACGAGTAGGCATTTCTAATTTCATTTTTACAGAGGAGGAGACGGGGTGAAAGTGTTCAAGAAACTTACTCAAGCGACAACTGCTAAGCAGTGAAGCCAGGATTGGAACCCCCACAGCCTTGACTCTAGGGTCTCTGTTCTGAACCGCTATCGGGACCAGAAACGGCCCCCAAGGGGCAGTCACCTAATGGGGGTCACAAAGCCTTTGACAGCAGCCTGCCGCCGAGGCTTGGGCATACAGGGCCCGAATTCTGGCCACTGCGCGGCGCTGTGGGGGCAGCGGCCGGCACTCCGCACAGTTCTGCCTCGTACTCGGCACCCGCGCCCCTTGCACACCCGAGGAGGCGCAACGGGCCGCCTGAGCTGGGGCCATTTGCTTCGGCGTCGTGGAGGCAGCCTAAGAAGTGAGACCAAATAGGACAGGCAGGACCTCGGCTGGCTTAAGGAGCACATTATACCACTCATGTGGCCCAGATCCCGAGAGATACACTGCACGGGGTCCAGGTCAGGGTTCATCAAGCCAGGGCTCCCTGGGAGCCTGCGGTCTGTTAGGCCTTCGAGTCCCGCGGCCAGAGGGTGGAGGGGAGGCGTCTCTCGTGACCGCGGGTCGGCGAGAGGGGGAGCGGAGCGAGGGATTCCCAGATCCACGAACAGACACCCAGATAAACACAGTTTCCACAGGAAACAGAGACAGGGATCCACGGAGAGCGAGACAGCCACAGAGACCGAGACAAACGGATGCCGAAGCGGACTCGGGGCGACGGGCCGGTGCGCGCCCGGGAACCCGGCCGCAGAGGCGGCAGCGCGAGCCGCGGCGCACTCCCGGGTCTCCGCAAGGGCAGGGCCGGGCTTTGCAGCGCAGGAGCGGGCGCCACTCGAATCTCTCACCTCTGCGAGGCCGGAGGCTGCGAGCGCCCACTCTGCTTCTTTCCCGCGTGAGCCGGAAGTCGCCGGGCCCCGGCGGGCCGCTCGGGCGGTGCTGGTCCGGGCGTCTCCGGGCCCCGCTCGCGTCCGGCGACGCCTCGGCTCTGGCGGCCCTGGCGATGTTGGGTGGGGGCTGTCGCCCTTCTACCGGCTCCGGCGGACGCCCGCGCCAGCCTTAGCTTCCAGAGGCTGGGCGCACTGAAGGCGGCGGCTCCAGGGTGCCGAGGGTTTGAGGGAGCGGGGGAGGAAGAGGACCCTCCTCCAGCCACCCGAGCGGAGCTCCCGGCACGTCGGCGGTTTGTTCCCGCCGGGCCGGAGCTGAGGTTCAGCGCGCGTCCCTCCCGCCCCGCCCCGCCCCACCCCTCCCAGGGAGCTCCGCCCCGGCCCACGGCTCTTCCGCCTTAGGCAGCCGCTAGGCGGGAGGAACTAATCCCTCGCACCCCCGCTCACCCCTGGGGGACTAGGGCCGAGACCTGCCAGGGTAAGGGGTGATCTGAGTCCCTTCTGCCTGCGAGCTGAGCGCAGGTCCCAGCTCGGGCTTCCGGGACAGCGGAGGGAGAGGCCGGCCGAGTGCGCACTGCAGGGCCAGAGTGGCGGAGCGGAGCCACCAGGGGGCGCTGCGGAGCTGGGGGACACCCCTCCCTGTCCGCCTCCGTCCCCCGCCCCCTCCCCGTCCGCGCGCAAAACACACTCGCCCCAGAGGCAGCGCGGCCGAGCGGGAGCCGCGGCCCGAGCGGAGCCGGAGAGCGGTGGCGGCGGCACCATGACCCTGGGCAGCTGCTGCTGCGAGATCATGTCCTCCGAGAGCTCCCCGGCCGCGCTGTCCGAGGCGGACGCGGACATAGACGTGGTGGGCGGCGGCAGCGGTGGGGGGGAGCTCCCAGCCCGCTCCGGGCCCCGCGCCCCCCGGGACGCGCTCCCCCAAGGCCACGAGCCTACCCCGGAGGAAGTCGAGGCGGACGTAGCGGAGGACGAGGAGGAGTCGGGCGGCTGCTTGGACGGCGAGCCCCGCGCTCTAGCGCCCCGGG